ACAACTATCCATTATCTCTCTAAATGGCATCTTTAAGCCCATTCCATACACAATCAATCACAACATCATCGAGTGAAAATTTCTGGGCACTCTAGTGTTCAATCATCTTCCACCTTTAAATCATGAAGGGCAGAATTACCAATCTAATTCTTCAGGTGTAAGAAGATTGAACAGGGGCAGCTGTTGTACACCAAAATTTTCCCTCTCATTTCTCAAGGAATCACCATGGATCCTCAAGTTTGCTTCCATCCAATTCCAAGCCTTGAATTGCAATTTTTCAAGAAAGTCATTCATAAGGGAAAAATGGTCATGTTACGCATGTGGAGTGTCTTAGCAAAACCAATTGAAATACAAGATCATAGTCTCTCGATGACGCTATTCAAAGTTTCCTTACAAATGATCTTAGTCCCTAAAAGAAAATGCTAAGATACCTTGCAACATTGCTTTCTATGACTATACAAAATGTCCCAATGTTCGTCTCTTCACATTCAACGATGGGGCTTCTTACCAAATCAATGGTAAGATAGCAACATCTAAAGGAGGAGGAAAAGCACATTTAAGACCTTTCGAGTAGGTAGATTCGCTCCTAGTTGCTCGCTTGCTCACAACAAAAACATTTTATACACCAACACTCTCACTTTGAAACATTTTCGAAAGACAACACTTTGTACGCGTTCTTATAGAAACGAGAGCCATTACAAAGGAAACCCTTTTCAAAATCACTTTCAAAAATATATCTCACAAACACCTCTTTGAACTATTTTCAAAACAAACACTTTGTATGCATTCTTATAGAAACGAGAATCATTACAAAGTTACATTTTCAAAATACTTTCAAAAACCACACCACAAGCACATTCACACAAAAGCAAGTGATATAGCAAGCAACTAAGAGCTCATGGAAAACCATGGATGAAAAGGGTGCTAATACCTTCCCTTTTCATAATCTACCCCCCGAACTCCAGAAAACATCTCTAAAGGTCTTTCCTGTGCTTTTTCACACTTCCTTATTGGATAAAAGAAAAGTCAGTGGCGACTCTTGCTAAACCACAACATTTGCGAATACAAGCGCAAAAACTCCAAGTCAGTTCTCCCATCGTATCACAGTTGTGGCGTTGCAATAAATTGCACAATACTATGCGGTCCAGTACAAATTTCACAAGCTATCTTTTGTACCTATTGAACCTGAGCTACCTGTTGAGTATCCATGTTCATTGCTCTCAACTTTTTCTCTACTTCTGCAGCAATGGCTTCTTCAATTTTCCGTTGCTGATTGGTTTCCAACTTCAGATCTATCACTCTCTGGTTTACTTGCAACTCTGTCATATAGATTCAGATGCTCATTTACAGCAATTGCTTCAATAATTTTCTTCACACCAGTGGCTGTTACAAAGTTGGCTGAGCCACCGACTGTTGTATCAGTAAGTTGCTTTGTCTTTATTCGGAGGCCATTTACAAACATCTGCATTTTCTCAATTTGACTCACGTTGTGCATTGGACAGGCCACAAGTAACCTCTTGAACCTCTTGTAAGAATCACCTAGGGACTCTCCTTCTTTCTGTTTAAAATTCACAATTTCATATCTTTTGCGAATGTAAACAGTAGCAGGAAAGTATTCATCAAGAAAAGTCTTCTCCATCTGTTCCCAAGTGGTGATACTTCCAGCCAATAATGAGTAAAACCACTCTTTAGCATCTTCATACAGTATGAACGGAAACATCCTTAATTTCTTGGCTTCCTCAAAGTGTCCCTCAATCTTCAAAGTAGTGCTCAAGGTGAGAAATCTCTGCAAATGCTTATTGGCATCTTCATTGATCTTTCCGGTGAAAGATATGTTCTCGAGCTGGCGGATGGTTGAAGGATGCAGTTGAAAATTTGCAACATTGACCGGTTGATTCACAATAGTCAACCGACCTGCTGGAGCGTTGGATCCTCTGTAATCCTTAAGAAGTCTCTCAGGTGGTGGTGGGTCTTCAGCCATTGGTTTTTCTCTTCAGACTCTGAACCGAAATGATCTGGTGAACCTTCTGACTCCTGTCTAACTAACCGAGCTTGCCTACAACTTACGTGAAAAGTTCTTTCTATTTCTGCTTCAAAATGAAATTCAACTGAGGACTTTCCTCGCATGCAAAGGTTAGGAAAAATCAGTAATAACAAATATGGAAATAACAGAAAAGAAATTTTAGTTGCAGAGCAACAAAATTTTAATTGAACTCAAATTAAACTAAATGATTAGGCAGTCCCCGACAACGGCGCCAAAACCTTGATCAAAAAAGTAACAATTGTACTATTTTGCCTCTTGTAATAATAGGGAAATTTTTCCTGAATGTCAGTCTCAAGGACTGCACATAATTACTGAGTTTGATGCGAGGTTCAATTAAACAAAACTCAATGTGGGGTTTTGGTTTGGTAATTGTACTTAACAATAATTAAAAATATGCAAAGGTAAATTATAACTTTTTTACTAGTGTGAATACTATGCTATGGGTGAGTGTGTGGTTTGCCCTGTAATGACCTTCACTATTGATCTCTTCTACAAGTTCATTACCTTTAACTAGCGGCCTTTTAGATTATTTTCCCCTAAGTCCTTAGTGAGAAAACCTTTAAACATCCATCTTAAATCCTAAGTCCTTAGAAATATCTGATGAAGTCAAGCCTTTATCTTATCAAGGGTTAAATCCGGTGACTATAGGGTATCCCTGATCCTAGGTGATATCTACTATAGTCTAATCATATAAAAATCTTAACAACCGCGGTTCAGGTGGTTGTTAATTGTAACTCAATCCTAATTGGTCCGATCAGGAAAACATTAGAAACCTTGAAGGATTTAATTTGAAGGAAACTACTGTATTAAAAATCAATAATTCATAGTCAATACATTTGTAAATCAGGGACATCCCCTAGCATTGGGGGGTTTAGCCACACATAATTTCAAAGAGATTACTATAACAATAAATATAGACATTACACAAATTAATGGTGAACTCGGATCTTCAATTGCTTCCGCTCATTAAAGGTCTTTGTTCTCCCAAAACATGCATAGACTTCAATCTTCTATCGTCAAATTATTCTTTGTTCCCCAAAAAAGTCCTTTTTCTTCTTCTCCAAATCAGGTATTTATAGCGCCAGGTCATCCCTCAGTGATGCCAAATGTCCAAAGTACCCTTAATGATCCAAGAATACAGTAAAATCTCAAAACTGGAATTTTATACGCCTAGGCTGGCATGGGCTGTGTCAGTGGACACGGGCACCCGTGTCAGTGGACACGGGCACCCGTGTCAGCTCTTGTGATTCTTCCCCCAACGTTCATACTTTAGCTGACTTGACACGGCCACCCGTGTCAGGGCTCCTGAAACACTTTTTCTCGAAACTCTAACTTCTGCACCTTTTGTCTCGATTTGTCCTGTTTTATTCTTTTGAACCTGAAAATACTAAAATACAAAACCAAAGCATAAAATACGGTAAAATAAAATAAAACATCAATCAATTAAACGAAACGATAACTAAAATAAATGTTAAATTCCTGTGTAAAAACCACCGATCATTCACGTAAAGTAAACTTATGTTTATCGATAAATTCTTTTCCAACATCAGTGTTGATAACACCTTGTTGGGGGGATTCTGAATCATCGTCCTAAGATACATTAACTTTGATCAAAACATCAGGGTGTAACTTAACTAAAACCAGTAAAAAATAAGACAATTTCAATCAACATTCAATGAATCTAGATTTCAATTTCCGAATCAATCATTCAAAAATCCAAATTTCAATATCAGAACTATGTGTTAATGTTTAAAAAAAAACCAAATTATCTAAATGATGATCAATGATTGACATGTACTTCACTTATAAATCTAAACAATTTTGCATGTTAAAATACAATAGAATTGTGCTTACAAATGAAAATTTTGAATAAAAATACAATAGAAGTATTAAAGGTACTACATACAAGGTTATGTAGAATTCACTTTCTTATTTAAATGTATTTGAATTTAAATCATCAAATAATGTATCCGAATTTTGTAATTTAAACATATTTTTTATTTGAATGAGATCCATTTTTAATTAATAAATTTATTTTATTTTAGTGCGTTCGAAAATTAATCTCCAAATATTATAGAAGAACATTTTTGAATTTATATATGATATCATTTGAGACGAGTGAATGCGTGCAATGTAAGTTTTCTTGAAAAAAAGAGCAATCTTTACTCTCCCCCTTTTGTTTTAAAAAATCTTTTTTTTTTTGTATAATTTTTTGGTTATCTCCTTCCCCTTTTGTTTTAAATAAATCCTCTTTTTTTTTTTTTATTATAATTTTTTGGTTCTCTCCTTTTTGGGCTAATCACGAGAAAACATGTCTTCCCTTATTTACAACTAGTATCTCAAATAAAATCATTTACTTATAAAATGATCAATTGTAAAGGTAGGGCACGTGTGTAAGAAAGGCAAAATTTATACTCTAACCCAAAAGAATCTCTTCATGATGATGCACGATATCTTATTTATATACTTTGTACCACTCTTCTAGATGTGCCGTTTCATTATTATAAAGTACCCAAGAAAAATCAAACACAAGTAACATTAAACAAAGAGACAATCAAACGAAGGCAAAATTAAACTAATCTTTGATTGGAAAAATACTCAAGAGATGACAAAAAGAGAGTAGACTTTAATAAGTGCCCTTATCCTTACAGATATTTTCATAATTAAATATTAACATATTAAACCTTAACGTTGCTTTCAAATGACATAAACTTTAAATTAAATTAATTGTCATAAGTTCCCTAATAAACAAAGTCTAAAATGATAATTGATCCATTCTCTCCAATCTATAATCATCTTCATTTCATTTCCTTTTAAGCCAATATTATCATCAATATATACATCACTCTGTGCTCTCACAGCACCGACACCTTTTAGAAGTTATCAAAATATTAACTAATTCAAAATTGATAGTGAATTTTTTCAAGGTTATGTGAGTGTGAGAGTTTCTTCTAACATGGAAAGATCATCACTCTCTTCATCTACTAAAAGGTAAATCTCATTTCCATTATACTAATTAATTTTTTTGTAACATGAAGCAAAATCATAGTAGTAGCTTTTGAGATATTGAAAATGATTTTGCATGTTTTTAGGAGAGGTATAAAGAAAAGAGTAGTGGAAATTCCAATGAAGGATGTGGAAGGGACTAATACTCCACCGTCCGATTCATGGGCTTGGAGAAAGTACGGTCAGAAACCTATCAAAGGTTCCCCTTATCCAAGGTATTTTGTTCTCATTCTACGCGTATAAATACTAGTATACATGTAGTAGAACGATTGTGATTGTATTAATGGTGGAATTTGGAACAGAGGTTATTATAGGTGTAGCAGTTCAAAGAATTGTCCGGCGAGAAAACAAGTGGAAAGGAACCATGTTGACCCCACGGTGCTTCTTGTAACATATACTTCCGATCACAACCACGCTGTGCCGCCACCTAGAAGCAACCGTAATACAACCAACGCCGCTGCATCGAACAAAGACTCTGAATCAGAACATGAAGGTGAACCTGAAACCGAGGAGAGATTTGCGGATCTTGGAGAGTTGTCGTTGGTCGCTACGGCGGATGAGTTAGGAGGATGGTTAGGGGAAGTGGAGGCGATCGCGTCGCCGGGGGTTTTGGAGTGTCCGGTTTTCTCGGAACAGGAGGTGTCGATGTTGGGGGAAGAGGAGATGTCGCTGTTTGCGGATCTTGGGGAGTTGCCGGAGTGTTCGGCGGTGTTTTGGAGAGGGAGGAGTAGCGCCGGCGATGTGAGTGTGGGGCCACTGGTGGAGGCAAATTGCTCATTGTGACACGTGTCGTAACTGCTACGTTTTTCTTTTTTTTTTTTGTTTATTAGTTTTCCGGGTTTGTTGGGTTTAGTTTGGAAGAAACAAAATACAAGTGGATATATGCAGTTGGGAGATTCTGTCTTCACGTGCTTGTAATTATTATCAACCACAATCCAAATAAGTTTATAACTTGGCCTTTGATTCAATAATTGGTAGCATTACATACATATCCGCTAGTTATTAAGGGTGGTAAAATGGATTCAACTAGTAGACTATCCCTTTTTATTTTTGTCTCACTCTATTTTTTCTGATAAGTAAAGATTGGCACCACTCACAGAAATTGCATAACATCTTTCTCTTGAGACCTATAGTCAGCCATTTTCATATGTAAAAATCTTTATTTTGAATAATATTTCACCTACATCACTAAAGCTTTCTTTGAATATAATATCATTTCGATTCTTCTAAATGCACCGGCAAACGGCAAACTAAAACGCCTCATTTTATGTTTTTTTACTCCAAGTTTAATCAGGTTAACTCTCATCTTCAGAAAGTGATTACAATAATCTATTTCATTCGAAATTTCTATTTGAGTTTACAATTGAATTTTATCCCAAACAAGTCTCAACGCAGGGCAATATATCGTAATTGTTAGTTGGTTAATTTTTGTTATGTAGTTATTTGAGCTTTTAACATGTAAAAATCTAATACATTCAGTTAAAAAGTTAGTTACACTTAACTAACTCACAATTTCTCTCTTCTCTTCTTCTCCTTCTTGTTTTCACAAAATCATCTTTCTTGAAACCTTTGTTCCAACAAATTGGTATCAAGAGCTTGTTTGCGATTCAGAGAAAATCTAATGGCAAACGAATCAACAACATCAACACAATTTCCAGTGAATCTACCGATTTTCAAAGGTGAAAACTATCAATGGTGGGTTGCGCAAATGAAAGTTATTTTCAGATTTCAAAATGTCGTAGAAATCTTGAATGATGGAATATCAGAACTGGAAGTAGATGCTACGGAAGTCCAGAAAGTTGTGCAGAAATATCAGAGGAAGAAAAATGGCAAGGCGCTGTTCTTGATTCACCAGTGTGTGGACTGTGACGTATTCGAGAAGATAATTGAAGAAGAAACAACAAAAAGAGCTTGAGAAAAGCTGAAATCCTTGTATGGTGGAGATGAGAAACTGAAGAAGGTGAAGTTACAGACATTGAGGAAGCAGTATGAGATGCTTCAGATGAAAGAGGATGAATCTATTTCTGCATATTTCTCAAGAGTTATGACGCTAACAAACCAGATGAAGGCATGTGGTGAAGCGTGTACGGATCTGCAAAAGATAGAAAAGGTCTTGAGATCTTTAATCACATATTTTGATTACTTTGTTGTGACAATTGAAGAAGCCAAGAATCTATCTGAGATGAAGTTGGAAGAACTTCAAACTTCATTGGAGGCTCATGAAATGAGGCTGCAGCAGAGAAACTCAGAAAGAGAGAAGACAACTGAACAAGCATTACAATGAAGATTCGGCAAGAAAGCTAGAAAAGAGAAGTCAAAGCAGCGAAAGAATCTTGCTGGTGATGAGAAGTCAAGCAAGAATACTTATTCGAAAGGTGTGGGCAACAAGTATTTTGAGAAGAAAGTTGACACGAAAGAGGTGCAATGTTACAATTGTCAAGGTTTTGGCCACTATGCTAGAGACGGTCAAAGAAAGAAAGCTACGAGATCGAAAGATAGTGATGAAGCTCAATATGCATGAGCTGGAGATAGTGATTCTGATGATGTGTTGTTGCTGGTGAACACTCAGTTGACTATTGAGAAAAATAACATGTGGTTGTTAGAACAAGTTTGGTTCTAATCATATCTTAGAGTTTTGATGATAACAATGAAATAAATTTTGTAAAATATATTTTATACTCTGATGTGCATGTTCTCTAATTCAGATGATGTTCTGACTCAAGCATCTCAAAAGAGAAACATCATTCTACGCAAGTCTAAAGCAAACTCTGAAGGAAGCACTCCAAGGCAAACTTTGATGAAAAGAAATCTTAAGCAACCTCTGATAAAGCTAGCTGAAGCAAAGATTTGAAAGAAGCATGCTGAAATCAACATCTGATAATGCAAGATGAAGGAAACTCTGATGAACATAAAATGAAGAAAACTCTGATAGAAGAAAAGTTAAATCAAACTCTGAAGTGGCAACGCTGCAAGCAAACTCTTAAACTTCCAGAGACAAGCTCTTACAGTATCGTTGATCATTTAATGCTAAGACGGCTAACACACTCAAGTGGTACTACGCACAAGAACATTGGAAACGTAAAGACCAAGCTAACACGCATCATTAATGCATACACTCTCTTCAAGGAAATAACAGTCAAGATTGGAAGCTATATATAGAAGACCATTTGTTTCAAAGCAAGGTTACTGATCCACGAAAAACATACTAAATTTCACTGTTTTCATTCTTATAAACTCATAGTATATAGTGGGTAATTATTAAGTATTGGGCAAAAATATTAGTGATAAATCACAGTTTGTGATACAGCTTATTAGAAGCATTCTGATTCACTACTGTTAAGAGATAATATTTGTAAGTGTTCCTTGAGAGACCAGTTGGGTCAGATTTCTCAAGAGGGCTAGGACTAGTTGAGTCTTAGAGGTGTTAGTCACTTGCAGTTGGCTTGTGCATTGTATTGTTAGTCACAGCTGTTAGGTTGTACATTTGTAATCAGGTTAATTATAGTGGATTAAGTCCTCGTTGAGAGAGGTGAAATCATCTTGGCGGGTGGACTGGAGTAGTTTGAGTTTCAAATGAACCAGGATAAAAATACCAGTGTCCTTCCATTATTATTGCGCGAGAAAAAATGAAAAACTTATTCAACCCCCCCCCCCCCCCCCCTTCTAAGTTTTTCTCACCCTTCAATTGGTATCAGAGCTCTAGTTCTGGGTGCAAACACCTAACAATGTTAGAAAAAGATCCAGAAGGAAAACACTATGGCAACTGAACAAAACAACAACAACTGCACCAAACCTCCTGTGTTTGATGGAGAAGACTTTGAATACTGGAAGGATAGACTAGAAAGTTTATTTCTAGGTCATGATGCTGATCTATGGGATATGGTCCTAGATGGTTACACACATCCAGAAGACAAAGACATAAACAAGATTGACAGAAGGAACATGGATAAACAACAAAAATTAGATTTCAAAAATCACCACAGAGCTAGAAACATCTTTCTGAATACTATCTCTAAAACAGAATATGAGAAAATCACCAACAGAGATGCAGCACATGACATGTTTGAGTCTCTCAAAATGACTCATGAAGGAAATGCTAAAGTAAAAGAGACAAAAGTTCTGGCTCTCATCCAGAATTATGAATCCTTCAAAATGGAAGAAAATGAGTCCATTGAAGCTATTTTCTCAAGATTCCAAACTCTGACCGTTGGCCTGAGAGTTCTGAACAAAGGATACACCAAGGCAGACCATGTTAAGAAAATTATCAGAAGTTTACCCAGAAGATGGGCACCTATGGTTACTGCATTCAAAGTGTCAAAAGATTTGAATGATGTATCCCTTTTAAGAACTTATCAGTGCATTAAGAAGTCACGAGATAGAACTTGATGAACATAAGCCTCATAAGAAAGGTAAGTCTGTCGCCCTTAAATCTATTAAAAAATGTGAAACTAACGCTTTTCAGGCAGAAGAAGCAAACTCTAAAGACTCTGCATCAGAAGAAGATGAGTTATCTCTGCTCTCCAGAAGGATCAACCAGATGTGGAAGCACAGACAAAAGAAGTTCAGAAACTACAAGAGGTCAGAAGATAAACCAGATTCTGGTCATAAGAAGTCAAGCAGGAGAGATAGTCTGCTATGAATGTAAAGAACCAGGACACTACAGAAGTGATTGTCCTAAGCTACAAAGAGAAATACCAAAGAAAAGGTTTGGAAGAAAGAAAGGCATGATGGCCACCTGGGATGATTCAGAATCTTCTGAAGATAAATCTGACTCAGAAGATAAACACGCTAACCTAGCGTTTATGGCTACCACAACAGACGACAATGACTCAGACTCTGATTCAAAACTAAAAGAGGTATTCTCTGAATTCTCTAGAGCCGAACTTGCTGAAAGCTTATCAAAACTTCTTGAAAACTACAGTCAACTCAAAATCAAATACAAGAAACTCAAAAAGAATATTGCATCTGATTTTGAGAAACTTGAAACAGAAAACTCTGAACTTAAAGAAAACATTTTTAAACTCAAAGAGGAAGTTCAAAAAGTTCAAAAGATTTTTATATCAGATTCTGCTTCAAGTTCAAGAGATATTCTTAAAGAATATGACTCTAGTTTTTAAACATTTCTTGCTAAAAGCATAGATAGAAGCATAATGGCTTCAATGATCTATGGTGTTAGTGGAAATAACAGAAGAGGTATTAGATATGAAACTCCCAAAGGGAAAGAAACATATAAACTTAAGCTTGTTGAGGAAATGGCTATCACATATAAACCACTACACAAACAATTTAGTTTTGGGCACACACATGATATCAAATACACATCTCACTCTGAAAATTCTTATGCAAAATCAAAGTTCAACCAGAACTTTAGGAACTCTAACCAAAAAGGACCCAAAAGATATGGGTACCTAAGGAGAAAATAATATATGTTGTAGATGTCCTTAACAGCTCAGTTGAAACACCAGTCATGGTACCTGGACTCTGGATGCTCACGCCATATGACAGGAAGAAAGTCTATGTTCCAAATTTTGGAGCTTAAATCTGGAGGAGATGTCAAATTTGGAGGAAATCATAAAGGAAAGATTATTGGTTCTGGAACCATTGGAAACGGTAACCTTCCTTCTATAACTAATGTTCTATTGGTAGAAGGATTAACGCATAACTTTTTGTCCATAAGTCAACTAAGTGACAACAGTTATGACATAATCTTTAATCAAAAATCCTGTAGAGCTGTTAGTCAAAAATATGGACCAATCCTTTTTACTGGCAGGAGAAAGAACAAC